TTATCCAATTGGATTTTAGGGACGACCTTGGATTGATCACTTGCCCACAACAATCTTACTTGAGCTTCATCTTGCCAGCTTGGTTCAAGTACACATGTGAAAAGGCTTTTGATTTGAGTTGATACTCTGTATATCTTCAAAAGTCTCTCTTTAAAATTGTGCATTCACATATATGGCGTGTTTGATAGAGATTAAAATTGGATTAAAATTGAAAAACTAACCGTTATTATTGACTTTTATTAGACGAGTGGAACCCAATAACGGCCATATTTTCAATTTTAGTTAGATTTTAAGCTGTACCGAACATGCCCTTAGATTGAAAAATAGATCCATTTGATTTATGTGACGAAATTCTCAATATAATCGGGTACTCTTGTGCATGACACTCTATAGGAGTTGATGGTCGACAATTAGAAATGAAATCTATCTTACCAAAATTTTCAAGCATCCTAGTGAAAGTTAAGGCTCCTCTTTCTATTTGAACCAAAACTATTTGAGTAATAATATTCGTAGTCGTTAACTACGGTAGTTGCATACACAAGGTATGTGATTATTTGATATATTAATGTTATAGTTTTTTATTGATTTGTGTATCAAATAATCATCTGTCACGTATGTATCACATATGACGATCGTCAATAAACGATTACGAATAACATTATTCAAACTATTTTGGTCAAGTAAAAAAGAATGAAAAGAATATAACTGAGGAATGTAGAAATCTGTTGAAAGGCCAAACCGTATAGAATATAAAGGCATATCCTTTCTATGACTCAAATCTGACCGTCATCACTCTCTCTCCACACGCATGCATTGGGATAGTCATCGATCTATACTCATTTTCTTTACATTCGTATTTGTTTATCGTTTTACATTTCAATCGAATCCGTGTAATCTCAACGCTTCTTCCTTCTTACCAACCAGATCTATATTCATTTTTGCGTCGCCGTCTTTCCGGAATTTGCTCTCCACCCCTATTGTATTGCCGCCAAAGGTAACCTTCTATCATATTTTGCCAAAAACATTTGTTGACCCTATTGCACGATTGTATTTGGAGATATCAATCTGATATTTTATACTACAGTTTTTAATTTGGGATCGAACCCATATTGGATCTGTTTGCGATTGTCGTTTACTTTAATGTTAGGGTGTATTTTGTGTTCAATTATAATTTTGGCCCTCTTTTGAGTTTATCAAGAAATGGGGTTAAAGGAATAATTCAAGATAACTAAAGTTCAATTTTAACTTCTGTAAGGACTTCGTTTTTGTCTTGAGAAATTGGAACTTAACTAAGTTAGAGCAGAAGTATCAGATTCGAGTTAAGTATTCTGTTTAATGGTAATGCATACCTGGGATTTCTTTTTTCCTCTACCTGTAATTTGCTTATTTATCAAAAGTACTGTGATTGTCCATGTGTCTATGCTTTCCATTTGAGAAAATGTGTAGCTGAAGGTAATTTTTTAGTTGATTACTTGAAAGAGCTTGTGTGATTTTGAGGGGCAGTTTTTGTGCTTATCGTTGCAAAGCCATTCAAATGGGGAGAAATTTTGGCTTTTAAGTGGATTTATTGTTTTCTATCCCTGAAAAAATGATTTACAGTTTCCTTCCTTTTGGTCTTTAGATTGGTAGGGGGTTTGGGGGTGTTACTTCATGGGGGATATAAGAGAGCATAATATAAATTTGTTGGTTGATAAAATAGGAAAAATGGGTTTCAGTCTGCTTTTTCTATTTTCTAATTTATACTACTTGAAATGAAAAAGTTAATTCCAAGATCCCCGTCTGCATATTTTTTCTCCCTCTATTTGTTTTCTGGCTGCCTAACAAAGCATGTTCAAATATGCTAGTATGAGGTTTCTTTCATGTGTGCGCGTATGATACTGTCCTTGTGAAGCTGTAGGCGGTTTGTCTGATTGAAGTTTGTACCGGATTGTAGGATTTTTTAATTGAATTTCATGGAGGGCATTGGAGGGGATGGTCCCTCGACAGCAGCTACGGCATTGAACCAACGGAAGAATGAATTGTCAAGGCTTTTCCAGTACTACTTGGATAAATCTACTCCACATGCCCTTTATCGGTGGATTGGAACCTTTGTTTTAGTGTCTGTTTATGCTTTGCGAGTTTACTATGTTCAAGGGTTCTACATTGTTGCCTATGGTTTGGGTATCTACATATTGAATTTGCTGATTGGGTTTCTGTCGCCTCTCGTGGACCCGGAGATGGAACCTTCAGATGGACCTGTGCTGCCGACTAAGGGTTCAGATGAATTCAAGCCTTTCATTCGTCGCCTCCCAGAGTTTAAGTTTTGGTACTATTTCTTTCAATATTTGAATTGGTTGTTTTGTTGCCATGAGGTTTACCTTTTTCAATTGTTTCGATTCTAAATGTGACATAGCTATGTCCCATTTTTCCTTTCCTCGTGGCATTTTTGCATTCAGGGCTGTCAGCACATGTTTATATGATTCCTATATTTTAGTTTTGTGTATATTTCTCTGTTGATTGGGTAATGGACCCCACATTTAATAGGGCATGGAAAGGTTCAGGGAGAGAGAAGTGGTTACCAACAACCGTGACTGCAAAGTGGGATGGCAGACTAGATTTGGGCGTATGATTTTTATATTTTCTAAATTATTACAATCATTTATGAGATGGCAAGGATAGTTTACGAAAACTCAATGGTGTCGCGATGTTCCAACAAACTAAGAATAATTGTCATATCTTGTGATGTAAACCACAAGCAAAGTTTTAAAATACAAAAACAGTGTACCTTTGGATTGGCTCTTGCGCATGGACTCTTATGGTTCATGTACTCTTTAAGTATAGGGAATTTTCGTTTCTTCCTTAATACTATAAGTAGGAACGACCATGCCCCTCTATGATTACGGAAATGCTATTGTTTCCCAAAGCCTATGAAATAAGAGTGCCATAAAGATGTATCATCTATTGGTTTCTATCCTTGGGTTGCATATCCATACATTTATTTACTTCTCAGGAGTACTCTGATGCCTGTTTTGTAAATGCACTAACTCCTCCAAATAAATTCTAGCCGTTGCTGTGATTGTTTTTTATTGGTTTTCCCTCCTTGAGCTATGAACTTGCTGTTCCATGTATATTTATGCAAATGTGAATGTTGCTGTTATCCAGCTGCTTAGGCCAGGTCAGTCCTTTTGTAATTTCTGTTAACCTTAATATATTGCATAATTTCTCCAATTTCAGGTATGCCGTTACAAAAGCTTTCTGTATAGCATTTTTTATGACATTCTTTTCCATGTTTGACATCCCTGTCTTTTGGCCCATCTTATTGTGCTACTGGATTGTTCTTTTTGCACTCACAATGAGGCGTCAAATCACGCACATGATCAAGTACAAATATATTCCAATCAACATTGGAAAGCAGGTGAGTCGAAGAAATTTGTATTAGTAGTTGAGAAAACTCTTCTTGATACATAATGTCGTGTTCTGGTGGACATTACATTGAATAAGATTTTAAATTATTTTTTTACTAATATTGTCGATATTGTCTAATCTACCTAGTAAACCTGCTATAAAAACATTGCTTACGAGATACCTTTTCTTTTTATATATATAACAGAAGTACAGTGGGAAAAAATCTTCTGCAAGTACCAGCAGCTCCCGAGCAGACTGATTTTCTTCCTGTTTTTGACTAAACAAGCTAGGAGGAAAAGGCAGGGATGGGGGAAGAACGGGAGTGGCTATAGTTTTTTACTTAATGGATTTGTATTTTATGTTAGAAATTTACTACGGACCTCAATACAGAGTTGAAATCATGTTCCCTAGCTGTTCTTCGATTATGGCAGTGAAAAGATTGCCCATTTTATGTGTAGTATTTTGAATTAAATAAGAAAGACACGGTATAAAAGTTTGGGAAAATTCTATGTGTACATAATTTAGGTACATAATGATGTCCATAATGTGATGTGGACAAAATCATGTTGATGTGAAAGTGTGAAATTTGAATTAAAGGTTGGATCTAGTGCCACGTGTAATTATGGACATCATTATGTATAACATTATGTACTTGTAGCACTTCTCAAAAGTTTGTGAGCTACATGTGCTCGCTATTTGTGAACTCGATGAATTGGTAATTTGACATCAAAATCTCTTTGATCATGCCGTCAACAATTTATATTCAACTCTTTATTCACTTATGCATCATCTATATAATAACTGATTTTGTTGTATATACATTACAATTTACAGATTTGTTTACCAACAAATGGTGTGGCGACATTTGATTTGATCAAAATCTCATCAATCAAATTAAAAAAAAAAATTTCACCTCATCAATCTGTAAAACATTGTGTAAATGGTGATGTAACAATCATTTTCTTACAATAACACCCATTAGTGGCAAAGATCACCATTTTAGGAAAAGAATGCCCAACAACAATTTCATTCAAAGATCAAGTTACTTTCGAAAAATAATAAATGACTGAATGCACAAGATATTAGCGAAAAGGAATTTGGTTAGGGGTTAGAATCCTTACCTCAATTGACTTTCTTATAATTTTTTATTGAAAAGTCTATAT